TATGCCTAGAATATTTTTAGAACAAGGCTATTTTTGCTAAGTAGATAAAGTTTTTCATGTAAAAACAACCCGAGACATATTGCACAATTAATAAACTTTTTTTCAGAGTGAACCTAAAATAAATGGGTCACACTGTATAATAGCACTATAGTATATTAACACACACAATAGTATATTAACACACACAACACTGCATAAACATTGCCTTTTTAATTCATATGATTATGATTTATTTGTTTTATTAACCATTTTCTATGTAATGTGTATTTTATAATTTATTGTCAAATTGAAACGTAATTTTAATTACAAATCCGGTACCGCAAATCCTCCTAGAAAGACATATATATTAATAAAAACTGGGATTTAATTTATAAAATGGTATATTAAAGATAATAAAATACTCAGAGTTCGGCCCTGCATCTTGTTTACCATTACCTATGAAATGTAATTCCTGACGATTTCTTTCTATCGATGGCGTTTCTGCTACTACAACTTCGAACAGCACATGACACCATGATTGTTTATAGTCACACAACACACATAAGTCCAAATAAAACACAAAATAACTCAAAATAAACGCAAAAATCAAGAACAGGATTACGCTAGACGCCAATAGCACGAATTGACAAGAGAGTCGCATCAATATGGCCGACCTGGTACCGCTTTGGTCACGTGATAGCATCTCCTCTTTTATTATAACTCAATGAGATGGATTCATGGATTGTGGGAAATTTTTTGCGCGGGCGTTTTAAATTCTCTGTATTACTGGGAGTGGCCAAGCTCATAAATATCCAGAGTATCCAGAAGATACCAACAGGATATTTTGTTGCCTCGACGTAATATACCTATATCAATCTGTATGGTTTATTGCATTTTATGCAATATAAAAAGTAGTACATTATTTATTTTTCCTAAATATCTAGCCGATATTGTTAGGATATTTTATTATCATGAGCATGTTTGGATATCTCAGCTGGATGTGCATTAGATATACGACAGAGATATCCATAGGATATTCTATTCTGAGACATCTACAGGATTTCAGGATGTCTGGAGGATATCCTATAGATGACTTTATAAGATGATCTTATAATGGGACATTCCGACATTCTATGAATATCCTGCGGATATTGTGTGTTATATGGGTAATAACCTAATAACACTTTTAGAATAATTATTTAACAACTCTATTACTCCAATCACATCGACATATTCAGCAGGAATCTCCGCTGCCCCTTTTGCTACATCCCCACCCTCGAGTTGATTGTAATTAACGTAAAATGGTTAATTTGTTGTTCTTATTTGAGTTCGCAATTACATGCTCTGAAGGAAACTCTAGGACTATAAAACACCAACTTTATTTTGAAAAATGTCTATACCTATGTGGCAGATTCATCTCTCTCAAATTATTTTATTTTCGAATAAATTGTACAACTGTTCTGTAAATTTTAATAGTAATTATTTTCGCTTAACCCTAATTAGCATATCGCGCGACACCCATATTGCATAGTTGCATTCCCTAATATTATATAAACAACTAATTATAAACATATAATATAAACTGTCCTTAATTAACTTATTTAAGAAATACTTATATCTAAACTATTATGTACAGGGTGTATTAATACACTACAAATTTAGCTGCATATATAAGCCACAGTACATGCTGTGCGGTGTAAATTATAATTTAGGCTAGAATTTAGGTATCTTTTTTTCAAATTTAAAATTGTTTCATCATTTTTCGAAAATGTTAAATATGTGTTAAAGACCTTTAATTTTAGTGTAGCTGTGTAGTTAATTAGTGTAGCTGATTAATTAAATTTACATTTTTTCCTCTTCTTTTTCCTTCATGTAAAATTCCCTAGTATGACAGTTCCCTCTATATAAATATATTTGAGTTTTATGGGTGTTACAGGTTTTACGGGTGTTACGGGTTTAGGGTATTACAAGGTGTTCAAAATAAATTTTATGAATTTTTACTACTTAAAATATGAAAAAGTGCTTAAACGGCATACTCTACATGATAGTATTTTTTTCTGATAAATCTTGCAAAGCCCTTCAACTTTTATTGATTATATTATATACGTATTTTTAATAAATTCGAATTTATTCCGATTTTTTTAAATTTTTAACTAGAATATACTTATACTATACAGGTTGATTCTTAACTTATAGGCATAAACTTGGGAAATTATTGCTAATGACAAATAATGACTAATAATGAAAAAAAATGTTATTAAAATATTTTTAGATTCTGAAATAATTTGAGTTTTTTTCACAAAAATTTATCAACTTTTTCAGTAAATGCCCATTTAATTTAATGGAATTTACTTTTTTTGTTTTTATTTCAAATAGTTTGTTATCTACGGAAATAAAAAGATTTAGTGCACATTCAATTTAATGGAATTTACGTTTTTTGTTTTTATTTCAAATAGTTTGTTATCTCCGTAAATAAAAACATTTTACTAACTTTTTTTTCATTATTAGTCATTATTTGTCATCAGCAATAATTTCCTAACTTTATGCGTATATGTTAAGAATCACCCTGTATTATTGTTACTATGAGAAAAAAAGTAGCCATAGTCAAATTTTGACTTGTCTTTTAATCAAGGGGAGAGCTAAACATGAATATTTGTTTTTATAGTAGAATTTCAATGGAGTACACGGTAAAAATTTTAATTAATGTCTCTTTTGTCCAGATACATAAAATATAAAATATGACTTAATCCCCTTTAATACAAAATTTTGATTTATCACAGTTCAATAAATCTATTCTTGGACTAATATAAAGCATCAGATTTTAATTTGAAAAACATTCCAAATTAAAAAGGGGTTCTAATAAATCTCTGAATACCCTGTTAAATATGTCACCTACCTTTTGTTTAAGAAACATTACAGCGGCGCGGCGGCGGCGTCTCAGAAAAATCCTTCGTATTTCCTAATTTAATTATTAAGTCGAGCTATTTAGTCAGAAGAACTCTTAGAACAAAATTATTTTTAATCAGTCGGAAAATCTGTTGTTTATTTGATTTTTATTAGCAGAAAATTATAGGTACGTATATTCAGTTCCGTATTTTTCGGTTTTTCTGTTTAGGGATATAGCCCAACCTTAGCCCACGGCCACACAGAAAGCGTTTTTAGCGTTTTTGCGCCTCAAGCGCTTTTTGCGATTTTACCGTTTTAAGCACTTTTTTCGATTTGTGTCCATTAAAAACACGCAAAAGACGCGGCAGGTCTGCAGTTTCTATCAAGATGTCAATTAGTAACGTCGCAAGATCGTGGATTCTCGGCCCGTTCAACAATCAATCCTGTGAGAAAGAGATAGGCGAGATCGGTGCGGTTAGCGTTGAAGAGACAAAGATAAAAGATGCTGGAATTGAATTGTGGACGGGCCGGGGCATATATTCGGCGACAAACACAATCTACTGCTAGTGCCAGTGGTGTGTGTAAAAATAATAATTATATTTGCCATTTATTTTACAAATTTTAGTTTATATGTGTATAGTTTTTTATGTTCTAGTGTTGTGGTTACTAGTTATAATTATAATATATTATAATAAACAATAATAATTATATAATAGAATAGTAAAAATAAGTTGCTGACTTGTTACACGTAAAATAACTATTTTTTTACGCGACAAAAACTTATTGTTTCATTTAAAAAGCCTTTTACTCAGAAAAAAAAACACTTTTTAAATAAATCTTACGCGTAAGAAAAAGTTCCTTTAAAGAAAATATTCCTTTAATTTATTAGTTTTTCAACATTTCAAACTACACTTTTTCAAATTTTTGAATTTAATAGAATCTTCCTAAACAGTAGTATGTTCCCTATAAAATTATTTATCTTATCTTAGAAATCGCTAAAGACGCTACAGAAAACAAACTGATTTGTTTTCATTTGCGTTTTTTGCGAGACACGCTGAACGCTACACGGTTTTGTTGGGACCACTCCTATATAATCCTGTTATTTTGTTTTAGTCGCTAAAGACGCTTCACGCTAAAAACGCAAAAACGCTTTCTGTGTGGCCGTCGGCTTACTGCCAGGCATTATGCCTATTATGTTATATAATCCAGTTAACCCAGATATGCCTGAATATTTTAAGTGAAACTTTATGCGCGTTGGGAGTAAAGATTCAAGGCCGTGACACACGGCCATGATTGCCGACAAGCCGGCCGCGGCCGTGACACGCGAGCTAGCGAGAGGGAAAGTGATAGCGGCAGTGTTGCCACAGCTACCCCATTTGGGGTAGATCTACCTCCTTTGTAAAATAATTTAACCCCGCTATCTCGTGATAATCTACCCCGATAATAAATAAGCTTGTGGCAACACTGGGTCACGAACTGTACTATAGGCGGCTAAGAAAATAACTATAATAAACTTGATACTGTACCAATGGTCTGGTTGTGTGCTAGGAAGTAAATTTTCATGCATATTTTCATCGATAGGTTTGTAACTTCTGAATAACGGTCTACGTAAAGCATCTAGCTCATTTGCCAGCTCAGAATTAGAATTTAGAGTCAGCAATAAATTAAAATCGTGTTTCTGGGATCGACATACAGATTGTTAACTGAACGGTTACTTATTGGGGAACAGAATGGCAACACTGCCTACATTCCAAATGAGTACTAAGCTAAGCTGCCGACTCGTCCCGTCGCGCGTCGCGTCGTCTCGACGAGCGGGTCGCGGTTGCCATATTTCAACCACAAAGCACTTGCCGTGAGTAATAAACAAATTAACAACCTGTATATTACCCCTAACATTAGTTCAGGGTACCAAAGCAAACCAAACTCACCCTGTATTTTGGTTGATACCTTTAAACCGCCCTCCTGAAAAATATCAAAAAATGAGTTACGCCACTTCGTGATATCTGTGACGACATATTTGTAGCACGTTTTAATAACCATAATTATAAAAATACAAAGTTTACGTAAATATATTAATTGGTTTAAATTTCATTAAAACGCACGTTTACATTAAAACAGAAATATATTTTCTTCAATATTTTTCTTTATATTTTCAAACATAAAAAGTAAAAAAAAGTACAAAAATAATTTAAAGTTTAAAAACTAAACGTATCATTTCAAAATAACTATTAGATAACAACTACTTAAGTAACTTAGATTTCTATCACACTAAAAATAAATAACTAATGTTATACGAATTGCACACATTATTCACATTAATACTGGAAAGACACAACATGAAAGCGTATTATAGCTCTGAATCCTTAACATCTATCTTAGTTTACATTACTAGTAATGGCCTGTTGTTCCACTGTCCCGACATCGTTTACAGTGGTATGGCAATTGTTTTGATGGCACGCCCAATCTTTGTTCTGCAAAGAAAAAAATGTGTTACTAATTTTTTTTTTTGTTTTTTATTTTTTTTTAATAATTTTTATTATGTTATAACACGCGAGTGCCATACAAAATTTTATTCAACAGCAGAACCGTTTCATGTCCAATCTCTAAAGAATAATTGATTTAAAAGGATCTACCAGTTCTACTTTCATAGTTGCGAATTAATAAATTATCAGGGTTCGTTTATGTTACTATGCAATATAAGGTTTGTTCTCACAGCGTGTTCCCAACATGTTTGTGACTTCTTCCAAAGCGGTGTTAATGCGCAGGTCTCAAACAATGCAGTTTCTGATCGATTTCAAACCATAGACTTAAAATATAATATAGACTACACCATTTACATCTAAACGCGGTCAAACAATCTTTTTTGTATACATGTTTACTTCTGGGGAGAGTCGACCGAGCCTTCCTCATCTAGCCTATGTTGTCACGTCTTTAATATTATCAATATTTTTTTTTCTTGTTATACACATATATTGAGATATTAATACTACATTTTAATAAAGTAGGTTTTAATATTCCATAGATGTATTAAATAGTCCTTATACTACTAAATTATAAGGCGGATACTATTTAAAAGGATAAGTTCTTTACAATATGGCAACACCGATTAGAGGCGAGGTCGCCTATTCATTCATTTATTACCTTGTAGTACCCGTCGCACGTGTGCGGTAAAGCTTTGTTGCCGCTATGTCCCCGGCTGTATTAACGCATTTTCTTAGCTTGTAGTCCTTAAGTGTTTATTTTATTTACATTTTCTGTTCAAGAACTATAAAATATGGTTCACCAGTGCCAAATTTGCAAGAAATTTGACTTAAATAATCCATTTAAGTCTTGAAACGGCTTTCGACCGGTAGGCAACTCAGGTAGGAGTCAGTGGCGTTGTTGTAGAAAGGCGCTTATTTAGATAATATTTTAGTAAAATCTAAAATTTGAATATTTTCTCTTACATAATCATTTATATAAAGGTTTTTGTAACAAAATCATAATTATTATAACCCTTAAAATATATATAATATAATAATAAAATAATTAATAATATTTTTATTAAAAATATATTCCGGTTTATTCTAAAATTATTTTCAGAATCTAAAATAACATACAAGAATTTTAAAATGATATTACATTATGAAACAATATTTTTTAATATACCGGTTTCGTCTCAAAAGTGGCTCACCCCTATAACTTTTTTATTTTTTCAGATAAAATAAAACAGATTTGTATGTTAATAGGTATATGACATAAATTAGGATTGATTGACGTATTCAATTGTTTTTGGCCTCTTCCTGTTTCACCGAAAATGATTACATCTTTTGATTTTTAAAGGCACCCTCGGTATATTGCTACTTTATTCGATAAAAAATGACACTCTAAGTAGAATGACATACCATATGTCAACTTTTGACATGGTCGCTTAAAAACAAATCGTATTTTAAATTTCAATCCAGGGTGCCATGGTGTTGTTAAAAACAGTAAGTTTTAATGAAGGAGCCTGGAAAAATAGTTTCGATCGTCTAATAGGTTTCGTGTCTTGTCTAGGCCGGTTAAAAGATGTACAAATCGTATTTTTAATCATATGTCAATTTTTTCAAATGGAACAAGGGTGACTCATTAGCATATTTGGAAAAAAGCATTTTTTATGAATATATTGATACCACACACTTGGTATTAGTCAAATTGTCGTTATGAATCGCGTGTTACAATTACAATTAAACCATATGCGAAAATGTCAAAAATTGACACATGATATGTCATTCTATTCAGAGTGTCATTTTCTATCGAATAAAGTAGAAATATACCGAGGGTGTCATTTAAAAATTAAAAGTTATTGTCATTTCCGGTGAAACAGGAAGTGACCAAAAATAATTGAATGCGTCAATCAATCCTAATTTATGTCATGTACTAACATCCTAAATCTTGTTTTTTTATTTGAAAAAATAAAACAATTATGGGGATGAGCCACTTTTGGGACGCACCCGGTATAATAAAGACAGTACCGAGTTACATGCATGTAGTTTTCATTTTATCCACTTCCTATCACCTTCCTTGCTTTAATGGAACAGATTTATGTTTTCTCTAATTTACATAAATAAGACATCAATAGAAAATAATGTAAAAAATTACAACAATCATAATTTTTATCTCTCTCCCTGTCGCCGATTCTATTATATCTGTAGAATATATCCTGTTTTGATTAATATTAGGGGTTGTAAATGTTTGACTAAAATTAATATTTTTTTTAATAATTTCAAAAATTACATAATTTCGAATATAAAATTTCTTCTACAACATGTATTTTATTATTTTTATCCTTTTTGGATTCTAAGACGTTTTTTCTAAACTTTTATTTAAAACAGCCTCTCCTAAATCTTAATAAAATATAAAAAAGTTTAAATACGTATTTTTAATTTAATTATAGCTTCATTAAAATAAAAAAAATACCCGGCTATGATACAGAGAGTTCAGGTGTACTTGAGAAACGAAAGATAGTGTTGCGTTTCTCGTCAGAGTCGTCAGGGAACGACCGTTACGACAGAGACAGCCTATCTATCGTTCATGTTGCACTCGTTCTAATCTAAAACAATAACACAACAATAACAAGACATTGTCTGACCGCATATTCCAGCTATTTATGAATGAGATGCTCAGTCTATATTTTATTTTAAATCTATGTTTCAAACTGTCTGTGCGAACAGCAAATAGAGCGAATCCCCTACTCATCTTTTTTTATCTATATATAATACCACTAATTTTAACTCCAAATATTTAATACAAACAAGGTTAATACCGAATAAAGAAGAAAACGAACAGGGAATTAACCAAAGACATATTTTAATGTTTTTGGTTTTGTTCTTTTTAATATTTTAATGTTTTATAATTTTGATTCTTGGGCCTGACCCGTTCCTCCATCAGCTCTCCTAGGTCTGTGCCTGTATCCGAAAATTCGGACGCCTCAGATTCTTCGGAAGATTCAAAATCGCTCATTTTTTTTCTTTATTTTTTTGGAGAAAAAAACACTAAACAAAAACAACACGCGTTTTGTAGGTTAAGTTTACCAAGTGCGCCGGACACTTTACTTGCAAAAGATCTGCGAACAGGTCTGACTGTCAGCTAACAATCAGAATTTTCTGTGTGAACAACGTACTGTTGGTTGGAAACCAATCAAAAATTTCTGTGCGAACGCGTTTTACCCTATTGCGCATGATTATCTGTTGGAAATATGTTTCTTACAGCTGTGAGAACAAACCTTGTTTTTTTGTAAATAATAAATAGCACTGACATTAAGACGTCATTCAGATAAATCGCGATTTTTTAAGGATAACATAGTGAATCATCAAACAGCAAGTTAGATTTTAAAGAAAAATGATTCAGGAAGATCTTCCGCAAGTACTTGAGTCTACAACATCCTCAGCAATACACTGGCCATTGTATGAGAAGATCAACATTACTGGCAAATGCAGGAGTGAACACGACAACGTTAAAAAGATACGGGGATGGCGATCTGTAACGGTTGCGGAAGGATATATCGAAGAGTCCACCAACAATAAAATAGAGATTGCGAAAAAGATTCAAGGTGCTGTAAGTGTTCCAGAACGAGCCGTTGTAATGACAGAGCCTATTTCAAGCAGTGGAGGAACGCATCTGGAAACATACAAGGTTTTACAATTTCTGAATCTACAAAAAAAATAATTTTCATTTAATTTTAATGTTAATTTAAATAAATAATCGAATTAGTAATTTATGAATAAAGCTTAATAATTTCTACAAAATGGTGTGGCTTTGAAGTTATAACACACTAGTTTGTTATAACTTCAAAAACTCACGCGTGTTATTATTTATTTTATATACATGTATACATGTGAGTAATGTCTGTATAAATAATATTTCGAATTTTCTCGATTAGTATTGTCTAAGGGTATAAGATATGTCTACAGTGCACCGGCTTCCCGCTTCTCTACGACTAGCGGTGAAAAATAGAGGAACGCTTAAATTATGTCATTTAATAGTCAACCGGACCACTCGGTAGCGATTAAAGGAGAATTATTCAGTGTAGCCGAGGGTTAACTTGTTTATGTATCAAATTAGAATTACCTGACATTCAGTTCCACAGTACCAAGCTTCCAAACAAATACAGTTATACACAGCTGGCCTATTACAAATACACAATTTTTGAACACTTATCGTGTAACTAGCACTGTCTTCTTCAGCCTAAAAATAAAAAAAAAGTATTATACGTTTTTCTTTTCGACAAAAAAATTTCAACTCACATTATTCTCCGTTTCCTCTTCTTTGCATTTTAATTCTTCATTTAAACAAACGGTTGCTTCGGCTTGGTTAGGTTTATCGATTTCGCTGGAGGCATCTCTGGTACCAAGCTCTTCATCAGTGGTTTCAGTTTTCACTGTAACTTCATCATGTAAAATAGTCATTTCACTGTTAGGTTGTGTACTCTTTAGCTGTTCTACAGTTTGGTTATTTAGCGTTGCTTCGTTTTCAGGTGATTCTTGGACTGCATCTATTTCGGTAGAAAATTGAGCCAAATATTGCCTAATTTTTAGTGAGGGGTTTCGCACCATCTCACACGGTCTTGCGACTGTAGCCGTATGATCTTCGCAGGTAGTATCAGCTTCACTGTTTGTGTCTACTGTAGAAGAAGAGCAGTTCAACATGTCTGACACAGGTCCAATGGAATCCAGAGCAGCTAATCCTCTATTCAATATAATTCCTTCGTCATTTCTGAAACCAGAAGTAGTTACTCTGCTAGAAGTATTCATCAATTTCGGACCTATTGTCAATTGACTAGATTTTGCTGAATAATCAGTGGAAGTTGTAGTAGATAACTGCTCTCTAATTATCGATTCTAAAGATAGCATATGTCCAGACGACAAAGTATGCACATTAGCTGTTATGTTCTCCGCCCTAGGAATTGCAGATATTGAATTTGTGAAGCTTCCAGGTCTAATGTTTCTTGTTGAACTGCAATGCTGATTACCAATGGTGCTGTTTGGAGTTATATTTCCACGAGGACTAGATGAAACGGAACTTCTAGCCTCAGAGGTTTGTACATCATTTACACCATTTTGTACGCTTGTTGAACTCGAAATCGTTGGAACGTTTATGTTAGAATGTCGACCAGGTAAATTTTCTCTAATCGACTCTTGACTGGATGTGATAAGGTTCCTATTAGTATTTTTTGACATTTGTCTATTTTCTCCTGAACTCGACATAGAATTCGTATTGGTGACAGTAGTTGTATGAGGTATGTGAGGTCTTGTATAGGGTAGCTTGATTTTAAAATTATCATTCACAGTTTTCTCATTGCCTTGTTGCGGTACATTTACGCCAGTGGATCTTGCAGTTTCATTATTAAATCTCCAAAGGTTTTGTTCCGTCTCCCTGTTCTGAGTCAAGTTAACTGGTCGGGTTTGAACTAACTGTGCTGCACTACTTTGGGGAACTTCTCTATTAAGAACTGGTTGTTGTAGATATGGATTCATGTACTGCATATTTGGCATAACATTATTAGTTCGGGCAATTGCATTACCTTCACTGCTATTAAACGCTTGACGATTATCCAACCCTTGTTGGTTATAATTTACTGTTGGCGAATTATTCAATATGTTATGCTGGTACGGAATTCTGTTAACCATGCTATTAATATTGTTAACATGCTGGTTATTCATCTCATTCGGAGGGACATTGTAATGGTAATTCGGCGCTGTATTCTGCATTGTAGCGTTAGAAAAATTCAGTTGGTATTCCGGTCTATGTCCATACACATTTGTTTGATTTTTCCGTGACATATCAAGATTATTTCCATAAACTGCTGAAGTGTTTTTATGATTTTTGTTATAAAGAAGTGATTCCAGCCTATTGTGCGGAATATTGTTGATGTTTGGTATACTAAACTGTAGCTGATTTGCTGGTGGGGTACTAAAATTGTTTGTAGCTGTAGCTGTAGGTATGTGATTCGCATTAGAAAGAATATTTGGGTTAGGTTGCTGGACTGCATTCTGTAGTTTAATCATATTTTGATATATCTCCCTAGTCATTGGAACACGTTGAGTTGGAAACTGCTGATTGTTGTACATCGGAGATGTGTTCATTGGCGCTCCAATGTTTGAAGGTCTATTATTCAAAGCATTGTGATTTTGTAATAGTGGTTGGGGTGGTGGTCCATTTGCATAATGAATTCTTTGGAAACCTGATATATCATGTCCCTTTGACATATCTACGTTATAATTAGGCATTTGCCTATTAGCCAAGTTTGGTGTTTCGATGTTGTTCATATTAGTAGGCATATAATATGGTAGATTCTCTTTTGACAGTTCCGGATAGATTTGATATGCTGAATTTTTACGAGGTTTAGAAGCTTGAGGTGCGGCTTTATGTCTCCCAATTTCACCTTGGCTGTTCTGAGCAGCTATTATATTCCTGTTCATTTCATTTTGATTAGCTGGTGAAGTTATTTGGTTTCTCGAAAAATCGCTCGCGGTAACTTGTGTAGTTAATTGACACGTACTAACTTCATTCTGGTTATATTGAGATGCTGTTCGATTTGCTATTACATTCCTGTTCATTTCATTACGATTAGCTGGTGAAGTTATTTGGTTTCTCGAAAAATCGCTCGCGGTAACTTGTGTAGTTAATTGACACGTACTAACTTCATTCTGGTTATATTGAGATGCTGTTCGATTTGCTATTACATTCCTGTTCATTTCATTTTGATTAGCTGGAGAAGTTATTTGGTTTCTTGAAAATTCGCTAGCGGTAACTTGTGTACTTAATTGACCCGTATTAACAACATTCTGGCTATACTGAGGTGCTGTTTGATTAGCTAGAGCAGTTATTTTGTTTCTTGAAAATGCGCTCGCGGTAACTTGTGTAGTTAATTGACATGTATTAACTTCATTCAGGTTATATTGAGGTGCTGTTCCATTGGCTACTGTATTCCTGTTAATTTCATTATGAATAGCTGCAGCAGTTATTTGATTTCTTGAAAATTCGCTCGCGGTAACTTGTGTACTTAATTGACCCGTATTAAGTCCATTCTGGCTATACTGAGGTGCTGTTTGATTGGTACTAACTATGTTTTGAGTAACATGAGTAGATATTTGATTTCTAGCATATTCACTCTGGGTAACAACTGTTTGAGGTCTAAAAACATCAGTCTGAGAAAGTGGACTGGATAACATACTTGGACTACTCGAAATAAATTGAGAAGTCATGTGATTGGAGCTATTGTTTTGATCAGTTTGGGGGGCTACTTTATTTTTGTGAATTTGGGTAACTAATGGATATCTGCAAATATCACTCTGAGTAACTTGCGTAACATCTTTATTACTGCAAACTTCAATTGCAGTAACGTGTGTAGACATGCCATTATTGCCCGCGTGACATTGAGTTGTTTGGGTAGCAACAGGGGTAGTTATCTGCTTCTTGGCAACTTCATTTTGAGGATTTTCGGCTGCAATTACTTGAGTAGATAATTGGTTTGATGAAATTGGTGTGTTGGAATTCTGAACCGTCTCTGGATAGTTTTCATGTATTTTTTTACAAATACGAAACAGCTCATTAAAAAAAGGAATTCTAATAAACACACATTTCTGCGGCATCATCAATTTATAAAGTAAAGAAAATACTTCTAGTTTCTTTAAATGTGTGTACTTCTCGCTACCAATGAGACGTTGATGTATTTTTATAGCTAACTTCGATATAATAGTAGAAAACTGTAGCCTTAAAGGTATCTCTATATCCCTTATTTCCTGTAACAACATGTTCGATTGATTTAATAAACTACGATTGGTGTAATTTTTGAAATATAATAATTCAGATTGCTGCAAATCATAATCCATTGATTTATCTTTAAAATGATTGATATAAACTTCAAATGCGCTGTGGAGATGATCAGAAAAGTGGATGTACTTTGTAAACACTTCTACTAGCTTTTGACCGTAGGGTACGTTCTTAGTAACTGGTTGGTTATTTTTCATAATTAACTCTCCTGGAAGAGAAGCAGATACAGCCTGAACATCATTATCGTTAGTAATAGATTCATCATCTGATCTATATAACGTTATGTTTTGTTCATTTTGTGGAAAATCATCGTTTTCACTTTGAATATCTTGCAACATAGTTAGTATATCTTCTTCAGCGTTACAGTTTTCATAAGCATCAGTTTCTAGTTCTCGTTTTATGACAGTAGTTTCAGTTTGTACTTCGGGGCTATCACAGATAGAATAGGTAAAAGAACATTCGTCCTCTTCTATAGAATAAGCCGTAATTTTGTGAAATTCGAACGGCAGCGTGTGCAACTGGCGAACTTGAAAATATTTCACATTTTCGTGCTGTACGATTTTTCCGTACGACAATGGACCTATGTCTATATTTACAACTGGTGCGGAATATCTTCTGTTCAATTCCTTGATTTTAGCCAGTTTACCTTCACACTTTGGAGCGTTAATACATTTTTCTATATCAGTGGTTGATCTACGTTTGTCTGTAATTCTAGCGCATCTTATATCATTCTTCTTACTAGTATCATGTTCTGTTTGGACATCTTTATTGCTTGAACTTGAGCACTGTACCATTTCTTTAATACCCTCAGTCGCTCTATGAGAACCTTGTGTTAACCGATGTTTAGTTTCAATGTTAGTTTCGTCCTTTTGTGGTTCCTTATTTTTTTTAATGTCTTTATTGCCTGAACTTGAACATTGTGGCACTTCTGTAATACTCCGTGTGGCATCTTTGCTTTTGATTTTTCTAACATTTACTAATTCAGCCGCTCTAACATGAGAATCGTGTATTAACCGATGTTTGGCTTCACTGTCAGTGTATTCCCTATTTTTCTTAATGTCTTTTTGTGCGTGGACGTCTTTATTGCTCGAACTTGAACATTGTGGCATTTCTGTAATACTCCGTGTCGCATCTTTGCTTTTGATTTTTTTTAGATTAATTAATTCAGTCTCTGTAACATGAGCGTCATGTCTTAACGCATGTTGGGCTACACTGTTAGTTTCTTCGATTTGTGGTTCGTTAATTTTCTTGATTTCACATTCATGTTCGTCATCTGAAGGGCAACCGAACAGTTCGTGAAATCGATCTGTCCACCAGCCATCTCCCTTCGGTTTTTTAGATCTAGAATTATTTTTTTCGTTGAAATTGTCCGGTTCTATCTTCACTGTCTTCGGCGGGTCGGAACAAGACGGTTTTTTCCTTTTCTTGCTGGGTTTTATATATTTGTCTCCAATTAGTCCTTTATTGAATTCAGTTTTTTCCTTCTCAACAGGCTTTTTTTCAGTATGGGAACTGCAGCTAGAACTTGGCTCGGAAGAGCACATTCCTTTTTCACATTCTCTGTTCGATTTCTTGTATTTTTTAGATTTTATACCGTCAGTTTGAGCCGGAGACTTAATTGACCTCTTTTGTTTTTTATCGATTTTCTTCGCATCAAATTTTGGATGAGATTCTGAATCTCTAGTTACTTGAACGCCTGACTTAGTTTTCGAGTCTTTATGATGATCGTTTTTTGATTTTCTTTCAACCTTCCCTGAATGACTTAAAGTATCAGTGGCTTTTGAACAGCTTTCATTGTTTCTTGCTACAGATCTGGAAGATTCGGATGTAATGTTTTTGGAATAATGTTTCTGCATTTTCTTCTCATTTTTATTGGACTTCTTATCTAAAGTATTGTCTGGACTAATTGGAATCCTTCGCTTTTTAGTTATTTGAAATTCAGAAGGATTATTTAAAATTTCATTTCTTAATATATTTTTTTGCTTTTTAATCTTTCGTGTAAATTCTTTATTTATTTTTGATGTCGACTTTTTAGATTGTTTGTTAACTTTTGGGAATATATTTATACAATCTTTCTTTGGATCATGCTTTTTACTTTTTAAACAGAAATTTGAAGATTCATTTTTATCAACATCAACAGTTGAAATATTGATATTTTTGTCTACTGCTTTTGTCATATGTTGATCTTTTATATCCAGTTCTATGCTTTTAACTTTTCCGGTAAAATTGTTACAATTGCCTATTTCACCCTGTTCATTTTCAAGTATACTTATCAGATGTACATTGGGATCCGTTTCTACTTCAGAAGAGTTTTCCATGTCTTCTTCTGTAGCGTCTTTGGACTTAGTCTCACTAGGGTCTCTATATAGAGTTACAAACAGTTTAACAAATTCATTTTCGCATTTAATGGCACAATTTGTTCTTGAATTGTCATTTTTTGAATCAGTTTGTATCACATTTACACTCTTTTTCAGGTCTTGAACTGCAGATTCTTCAGTTTCGTTATTTGAGAAATCACTGGTTTCAACTTCCTCAGTATATAAATCTACATCCATAATCTCTGAAGGGATCCTAGTTTCGGTTGTAGAGTTTTTGCAAATATTTTTTGCATGGTCCACATCTTTATTCAGTTGATTTTCTTCCTCGCTGTTACGTTTTAAATCTAAATTTTCACTTATAGATATTACATCTAATTGTTTCTGTCGTTTATTGTCTTCTAATATATTTTCAGTCTTTTTTATATTTGGCTTATTGACAGTATTTTCCGAATTTTCACATACCTCTAATTCATCATTCAAATAAATGTTAGGAGAGATAGATTTTTTCTCTATTCTAATGCATTCTTTATTAGAAGAATCTTTCAAAGGCATGTTTGAAAGTTCTATAGTATCACACTTTGTCGCAAATGTATTATCAATATGAGAATTGTCAGAACTATCCTTAAAATTCATTTTGTCTATAGGTTCCATTTTTATATTTTTACTAAGGTTTTCGATATTATTTTCCTGAATATTATTTTGAATACTTACAGAAGTTTCAACTTTTTGGATAATAATTTCACCATTTTCATATGTATTTATTGTCGTAGATTCTTTCGTTTCGCTAGATTCTACACAAGGTATACTTACAGATTTTGATAAATTTTTTTCTGATTTTGAGCCTTTTAAATTTTGTTCCATTAAATTCTCGCTAGATTCTTTATTAATTTCTGAGCATTTGTCAGGTTTGGTATTTTCAATATTTCTATTTTTAGTATCTGAATTTATTATTTTATTTTTATTTACATCATCACATATTTTCATTGTCTTAGATTGTTTTAACTCATTTGATTCTACACTGGGATTGCTTAGAGATTTTTCTACACTTTTCTCAGATTTGGAGCCATTAAAAATTTGCTTATTTGTACACTTAGATAAATTATTAATACCAGAACATTTTTCTGATTTGGCATTTTCTCTATTTGTATTTGTAATTTCTTTCTCAGTCTCTCTAAACTCTTTAGGTTCTATAGTAGATTTACTGGGTAAAGATTTCGACAAAGGTTTCTCACATTTGGTCTTATTTTTGTTCATTTCTATATGTTTAATTGCTTCATCACATTTTGACAGTTTGATTACTAATTGTCTGTTTTTACATACGCTATCTAATGTTTCAATAAACGATTTAGCAAGTTCAGCTTTATCACTAAAATCATTCATAGATTTTGTTTTACGTAGACTAGCCCTAGTTTTTCTAGTTTCATTTTGTATGGCACATGATTGAGATTGTCTCCTCGTGTTTTCCATTCGAGAAGAATTTTTATTAACTACAGGCTGTATTTTTTTGGGTTTCTCAAATTTTTCAACTCGCCGCATTTCAGTGAAAATTTTTAATTTAACCATTTCGTCCGATTTGGTTAACTCTTCCTTATCTGTAATATTAGAATTATCTACTACGACCTTAGTAGGTAGGGGATTGTTATCTTTAGTTGCTTGTTCCAAATAATTGATCGTTTCTTTGTTAGATTCAGTAATATCCCTAGTATTTGACTCAATAAATGGTGTATTACTATCGGAATTTTTCACTAAAATTATTTCCTTCTTTACAACTGCTTCTTCTACCTGCGGTTTTGTTTTTTTATTACATTCAGTTATATCAGTAGCATTTGAGTTAAGATCACTTTTTGCCAACTTGTCAACTTCAAAATTATTTGTGTTACTTTTCGTGACATCGACATTTGAAGTATCGGATTTAACGGTTACCTCGGATTTATCAACATTTTCAGGATCAGTATTGTTTTTCAAACCACTATCTTTGATATTTATGGTTTGTTTAGAAGAATCCTTTCCTAATTCTTTCAAATACCTTTTTGGACGGAAAGTATCTATATTTCTCTGTTGTGTTCCAAATAAATGACGTTTTGATTCATTAAAGTTCCTGGCTCCATTGAAATGATGCCTCCTTGTTTTAAAAGTTGGACTTCCATTGTCAGAATTATAACCTTCGAATATATAGCGGTCCAATTCTTCGTCGCTATCACCCAAGTTATTGTTATATCGCGGTTTCTTGGTCCAAGGAGTTCTCTTTTGATAACTTCCACGTGGAAAAAAGTTATTTGGGCTCAGTTGATTATTGTTGGGTGCTTTGTATCCTCTTTCAAAGCAGTTCGAGTTATCATGGTAAGGGCCGCGTTTGAATCTTTCCTCATAAGCCGGATATCCCCTTGGAGAATCTGGTATGTGTCGTTTTCGAAAATAGGGTGTCTGGTTATGAGGTTTCGGGTAATGATTCTTGGGCATGATAAAGTTTAAACCTCTTTGGTCAGGTACAGTCCCGCAGCTGAAAAAAAAAAAAATTATGAAGAGATATTACTAAAGCTGTACGCACACTGGTGCGATCACGGCCGCGATCACGATCTCCACGCGGCTGCGGCCAGAAGTTGCTGAAGAATACTTTTTTTAATGTGAATTGCATGTTTAATTACTCGTCTTACTGATTACAACGTATTAAGTAAATAACTAAAAAGTGGGCAGTGACTTGTTGATTGATATGATGATTTAGAGGGACCATGCATCATCAGAGGACTTCCCCAGGTAAAGTTTTTCGAATTCGAATCATTTCTAGATAAATTGTGTACTCGTATAGTCAAAAAGTAAAGCAACCTTTTACAGAGATTTCATTTTGTTTTATTTTTATAGGATGGATAGAAAAACAAAATTTTACCATACAGAGTAAAATATAAGACAAAATATCCTGAGGTCGCTTTGATAAAAATTTACTGTTGCAATAGCCCTATGTAATAGGTACCGTATGATCGAAAAAAGTCCAGTTGGCTTGAAAATGACGATCGATGACATTTCCCATATAATTTTACATATAAAATGACAGCGATCTTCATTTCATAGCCATCGCTGACGCCGTTTTTATTCGATCATACGGTATAATACTGCGAATTATATTACATAAGGCAACTGCTAAAAATTTGTATTTTTTAAATACAAAAATTTGCGCTTTTTAAGTCTGTAGGTATCTAAAATATTAAAAATAATATACAGTGTGTATTGCATTTAAAAAATTGAGATATAGCATTATAATATTGCAATGTTGGCGGTGCCATAAAAAAATCCCTGTATAAAATAATGTAAATTTTTCTCGGATTTCATCTTTTGTTCTACATACCTCGCTATATACATACTTAAGCAATAATATATCAATAAGTTCCTCCAGGTTTTTACCACTTTTTAAAAAATGAAAATTTTCAAATATGAATTATCATGGAAATCCCGCATATATAGTGTTTCAAATAAATCAATAGTGTGATGTATGCTGAATTCTATGCTGAACCCAAATCTGTACAGAAAAATCGTAATGCGATTGCAATTTAAAAAAAAAATATTTTTTTAGGATATGGACTTTTTTTATATAGAACTTTTTTTTTCATATATTTGTCAACTACGAAGATATTATTGGACTTCCTAGTCCTAATGGTCACCCTATATACATACTAATAAAAATTCTCTTCTAATGTGCCTCACCATCTTCCAGTGCTACGAGCCGCCCCTGGATAGTACATATGTATATATTTTTATTGTTTAAGTTTAAATATTGTAGGTAAATATTTAAGAACGTTTTTTTCGGTATACATAATTCACAATTTTAATTTGTACCTATGTATACCTACAGTATAGCTCACTACATATAGGTACGGCGGTGAACGTGAACGCGTTGGTGTGAGCTAGAATGATCGCTCATGTTATCGTTGCCCTGATCGTGATCGTGATCGTGATCGCGGCCGTGATCGCACCAGTGTGCGTGTAGCTTAGAGTAATTTTCGGTCTTTAGATATTTTAATTTTTTATGACTTTTTCAGTTGTAAACATAGTACATACATAGTGTTAATTTAAAATTGAGGAATAAAAACAATATATTTATTACATCACTTTTTAAAGAGTTTTACGTTTTATTTTTAATTTAATAACTAATATTTTAGTAATTAATTGGTATATTTGTTTTATAAATTATTTTACTCCTTACATATTGGCAAAAAACTAACGGCTAGCGATAATATTATGGGTTATTTATTTATCTTTTTATTGATGTACATCTTACAACGCCGTAAGTGGTAATAACAAGTAAGAAGGTGCTATTAATGCACAAACTAATAATCACAGAATTTAATAAAAACTAACTTTGAAAGTGGTATAATGTGCTGCCCAATCAAACCTACTCTAACTGCAGTCAAGGGTAATAAAGGACCTTTATTGTCACGTACTCCTTCAAATTGTTAAAAACCCCCGCTACGCACCACGCATTCCAACCCCACAACGCATTCCCGACATTCCCCCCGTATTCCCTATGCCACTCCGTGACGAACATCTCTCACACAATAAGAAACCTACCCTGCTACCAAATACCGGTACCAACCATGCTACCTAAAACACCCAAACAAAAGGGAAACTACAAGCTCTTTACTTTGTTTGTCTAAATGCTTCTGCATATTTTCAACACACAATTTCAAGAAATGCAATACAAAAACTCGAAAATTTAGTTCTTAAAAGAACTGTTTGTGCTTAGAAGTGCAATTGTTAAAAAATAATTACGAAAATAGGCAAAAAACGAGAATTACTCACAAAGATTCAACAACAACACGATATTATACAAAATAATGACTGACTGGATAATTGTCAAATAATAAGGGACAACATTGCTGAACACGGCGCAATGTGACCAACATAGTAATAATAAAATTCGGTTTAAACTAATTTTTGCAGCTTTAATCTAAATAAAATATTTGATACAATCGTTTGCTCTATAAAGTAAAATGAAGAATGAGATACAGTCTGTATCTTAAATTATACAACAAATTTAAATATTTTTGCCAATTTTTTCATTTAGTCAGGTCAATGTCAATGTCGATATGATTGATGACGTGCATCGGAAAATGTTTTGCGATTACAATACATATACAGGGTGGCGCACCTCATTCGCCTCGGTTGATTATACGAAAACGAAAAGATGTAAAAACAAAATATTTTATGGGTATATGTGGGGAAGCAATGTGCACAATTTAAAATTATTTTGAAATATACAGGGTGTTTCAGAACTAAGATCCATACCAAAGTTATATTTTTTTCTTATGGAACACCCTGTATTTTATTTCATTTCCAAAAAAGGCATTTATTATAAGGGTTAAATATCTTTAAAATCTTTGGTTTTTGAGATATTTAAAGATATTTAAATTTGCATGCTTCAATAAAATAGATTATTAACACTCTGTACATTACTTTTGAGAATTAATTGTTATGCTGAGTTTAAAGGTAGAGAAATAAACTTTACAGAAAAATGTTATCGCTTCCTTAAATTTATACAGGGGTATCAAAAATTGCTGATCTATTTTAAGAATATATTTTACATAAAAACTTATATTATAAAATATAATGCTCTCTCTCTCAAATGCTCTTTCAAAATATATTAGGGTTTCCTATACCTAACTAGCTCATATTTTGAATAAAGATCAATTTTTCAATAAAATGGCAACCAAGAGGGCTAGTGTCGTCATGGCAAGTTTCTAGTGACAGTAAGTAACTATTTTCAAAATCGAAATTAGTTTATGGACTTATTTAAATTTATACCAGTTTACTTTTATTTAATTTACCTACAATACTTTTATTTAAATTACCTACAATAGTTTATATTAGTAATAAATAATATTTATTAAATATGTATTTATTATTCTATCAAGAAAAACGAAGAAGTAGTTCTTTGATTTATTTTACGATGACTTGTAGATATATGGATTTTCTATAAAAGAGCCAATTATGGCAAATTCATTTTCTTCACTTCCAATGACAGGTTTCTGCCTAATAGGTTTTTTAGAAAGCAGACTACCAGCTCTGCCAAATAGGACAAGTAGTTTTTCAAAGGAACGCTTATCAGGAAGATTCCTATTTGGATATCCTTAAGCATAAGCCCTTGAGGTTCCAGTCGACATTACGGACACTAAAAACGTTAAATTTTCCATACAGATTAGGTAGAAATATTGAATATTAGCACTTTACTACATTATATAGATGTGGATTGACCTAGTTTAATTTTTTTTATTAATATCTAGGGTTCTAAATTTAACACACATTCACTAAATTTAAGAAATGATTTTGTTTTCTATCCATTTAAATTTAGTATTGACATTATATACAGTTGTTTATTTACATGTATGTTTATATTTTATTTATATTTAATTAAATAAATTTTTGACAATGTACAATTTCTATAATTGTATAAAGTATTGTTTTAGTTTTGCATGTTTGCTGTTAGTTTTATATGTTTTTTTTTATTGTTAAGTGAAGTTTTGTATGTTTTTTTATATTCTTTTTTTTAAGCTTTGTCAACAAAATTGTTTAATTTTTTATGACAATAAAGCAATTTCTTCTAAAGCACAAAAATTCAAGAAAACCTCTTTGTAAGCGTAAAAATTAAAAAAATACATGTATTTACAATATTCCGAGCTAGAAACCATTGACTTTTTGATTGACAGTTGATCGACGGCCTTCGCATGCTATTTGCGACGTTGTCAATATAATTAATTTATATAATTTTCTACTGAAGTGAGATTATGTTAGATATTCTTTTAGGGGTTCTGTGGTTTTGAAATTTTGGTTAGCTTTTCTTTGTGGAGGGTGTTAAGCTGTGGTTTTTATATTTTAATAATTAACTGTGATTTTGCAAAAATATTATTAGATTGGCTAGGATTTGATTTGCTTTGGATAGCGTTTCTTTGTGGAGGGTGTTAAGCTGTGGTTTTTATATTTTAATAATTAACTGTGATTTTGCAAAAATATTATTAGATTGGTTAGGATTTGGGTTGCTTTGGTTAGCGTTTCTTTGCGGAGGGTGTTAAGCTATGGTTTTAATATTTTAATAATTAACTGTGATTTTGCAAAAATATTAGATTGGTTAGCATTTGGGTTGCTTTGGTTAGGTTTTCTATGGTGAGGGGGGTTAAGCTGTGTTTTTTTATATTTTAATACAAATCTGAGTGCTTTCAATGATATGATTTTAAACACAGATTTTAAAATAATTCATTTGTTTTCACCGTGATGGCTCCACCGGAGCCGTTCCTCCGGCGACCGGCACGTGAAAAATTGGCCTAAAATAGCGGCAAAGTCGCACAGGTTAATGTCATCCGTGGCTAACGTCATGTTGGTTATGTGTCATCATATGTTTGTGCCATCTATCAAAATTCCTCCGCAGCATCAAATAGTACCATCATTTTATTTCAATATTTTAAAATTTACTGGATAATCCGCAAATTTTTTTGTTTATAGCTACTAACTGTCACTATAAAATTGCCATAGCGATACCAGCCATCTTGATTGCAATTTTATTTAAAAATCGCGTTTTATGTTTTTATGCAAAATCTGAGCTAGATAGGTATAGGAAACCCTAATATAGTTTGAAAGAGCATTTGAATCTGCTTCGATTTAATTAAAAAAATACAGGGTGTTTTATTTGAAATAACGAAGTTCTTATATAAAATATATCCTTAAAATAGATCAGTAACTTTTGATAGCCCTGTATAAATTTAAGGAAGCAATACGATTTTTCAGTAAAGTTTTTTTCTCTACCTTTAAACTCAGCATAAGACAGGGTGTTAATAATCTATTTTACTGTAGTATGCAAATTTCAATATCTTTAAATATCTCAAAAACCGTAGATTTTAACCATATTTAACCCTTATAATAAATGCCTTTTTTGGGCCCAGGAATCCAAAAATGAAATAAAATACCGGGTGTTCCATAAGAAAATATGTAACTTTGGTATGGATCTTAGTTCTGAAACACCCTGTATATTTCAAAATAATTTTTAAATTGTGCACATTGTCTCCCCACATATACCCATAGAATATTTTGTTTCTACATTTTTCCGTTTTCGTATAATCAACCGAGGCGAATGAGGTGCGCCATCCTGTATATTCCTATTTTGTTTCTAACTTACTGGTAACTGTTGTTTTCGGGATAACCATAACAGAAGTTGTAATTATTATAACAACCAGGAATATTGCCCGAATTTCGTTGATGAGGTCCACTTGGATAATACGGAGCAGCCCTGAAAAGATTAAAAAATAACATTAATTTGTCGCTAAAATATACAGGGTGATTCGATTTTCAATAAGAAATATCGAGAGAAGAATATATAGGACCAAAGGGTTTATTTTTCTTTCTAAACATTTCTTCAAAAAAAAAATGTTTTAGTTTATACGAAGGACATTAAAATTTCTAGAGACTGAGTTAAACATTACTCATAAGCATTCCTCTGAATGGACTATCTAAAATATACAGAGTGTTGCACGTAATAATTAAGCTTATTCGGAAATTACTACTTCAGTTTAGAGGGTTTGGATGAGATCGGATGTCTCCTGAGTAAGAGTCGATTTAAACACTCGCCAAGTCGGTAGGCCATTGACAATGATATGGCCGAGGACCGCGGTTCGGATTCCGTGTAAACAAAGTAGGCCCAGTCCACATTAGCCTTAGTAACGAAAAGGAGACATTAACTTAAAATTCTTGTATTTCATAAGATTAATATTTGAACGAGCGTTTATAATATGTAGAGTAGAGATTTTTTAAGAACAAAACTTTTCACTCAATCTGCAGGTATATACATAATTACAATATGTTTATTATTTAATTCTATTATAATGGAATTAGTATATAAAACTGTACATTTATGTTGTTTGTTTACGCTGTCGTGATCCTGGATTGGACCACCGTCGTCACCAATCTTGTAGTCGCTGCCACCAAATGTTGTAGTTCTCTATTTGACTCGTATCACCACTTGTTGGGAATGTTATTCTTTATTTTTTTTATAATTAAATTCTTACTAAGTTGTTATTACTTTTTATTTTTAAACTTTTAATACAAAATATAAATTTAGCAGTATTACGTCTATGAAAAATTTTATGAATGTCCCCGGTCCCTTCTGTGACCGTGCTTTATGAGAATGCCCTCTCCGAAAATCCACGGGCGTACCTACTATTTCTTAATAATATTTTCAGGTAGGTTTGCAAGGGACAAACATGACCATTTCTTAAGTAAATAGAAACCAGACATCGCGTCTGAAAGTAAACGAATTACAAAGGAAAACTAAAATGATGCAACTTTTATGACTATTTCTTCCAAATTTCATCTTAAGGTAATGGTTCTGTTTATTTGCATCACCCATCTTTCTGAGAAGAATAATAATGTTGATGGTATTTTTCGTACCTTAAATTCTTTAGGCATAGCCGTAGAATAAGGGTAAAAATAATATTTTATACAATTTGTCGAATATACATATACATATAACCATATTAAATGTATGTTCACAACACCTCCCCCCTTAATGAGAGATTTCATGAGGTGAAAGTGATATGAAATCTCAAAACAAATGTTTATATAATTAATTAGTATAACTCAGATGGAAATGAATAAAAGTACATATATAAAAGTATTATACAAGTCTTAACTACTAATTATAACTAACTTACATTCTAACTTAACTAACATTTTTTTTTATAACTATTGCAGATTTAAAAATGTATCAAATGCGGAAATTATTTTTCTTTTAATGGTCGCCTTGATGGTACATACCCAATGGGTCTGCGCGAGGGCGCCTGTAAATTAACATTCTCTTCTTCGGAGTTTTCATAGTTACCTACATTTTCAGAGTTTTGGCTAATATTACGATTATAATGAGCAACATATCTATCACTATTTCTAGAAGATGGTTCCACAGACTGATTAACTCTAATGCATAAGTTTGGAATAATTCCGCAACAGGCTGTCTTGTTAGTACATTTTGTATACAATTTATAAATAATAAAAATAATAGCAAGAAGAGCTAAGATATAGGCAATTACAGATGCTGGAAATGTATAATTGTTTACAAGTTTCCTTTTTAGAATTTCATCACCTAACTTTTCAATATCTTCTAGCTTATGGCTCGCTACATTAAGTTCGGGGATGTGCTTTGTTAATTTCCTATAATGTTCGTTGAGAAATATTTCACTAATGTTTATTTTTTCTTCCTTTATCCTTTCGCAACAATTATCACTAATGTCGAATGGTGGAATAAAATCACTTGAAATATTGGACTGGACTGTATTTCCATGAGGGATTAGCATTGATGATGCGCTATAAGCTTTACATTGTTTACCTATAGTGACACTACCGCAATTTTTTAGTATTACATCTACGTGATTTTTTTTATTATTACATGATATCGTAAGAGTTTCTGGATGAGGAACTGCAAATAACCAAGTGTTACTGGTTTGTAGTTGAATAAAAATTGCTCTATCTGACTGAATTATACGTTTGTCACAGATATCAGGTATGATATTTGTGAATTGCAATAATTTAACTTCGCAATTATCTGCCAAATGAGCAAGAGAAACTGGTTTTTGTTGCTTGCAAATAAATTTATTTTCTATAATTTTTAAACAAGTATTAAATTCTATTTCCGACAGTGTAATAAACTGCTGTTTGCTTTCGTCAATTGCTATATATTTAGATGAGGGTTGAATTAATATAAACTGGTTATTTGACATTAATTTTGGAAAGGGTGATATTTTATAAATATAGAATAAATTTGTTTCAATTAAAGGGATGTTTATAATATATATTAATCGTTTGTTTTCGAAATAAACTTGCAACTCGATAACATTTAGAATGAGATTTGCATTGAGCGGATCTAATGGTACAGGAAATTCTAATCCATGAGGTAGAGATTCGGACACATCTTTTAATTCGTTAATTAACCTTAATGGCGTTAATATTGAGGGGTGTAAAACTCCCTTTCTTGCTACTAAAATAGCATTCGTAATCGTCATGATTTCTAATTGTAATTGATTTAGCATCATATTTAAAATAGTGACGTGTTCTTCTATGCCGGTTTTTATATATAGAAAATGAAAATTTTCTTTGACTTTGCTTAATTCATCGCTAATCTTTTTTATATTATTTTTTAATAAATTTTCGTTAAAATCTAAAGTTCCAATAGTATTATTGAAATTAATTATTGTTGATTGAACAATTTTTGTTTGTTCTTTTAAAAGTTGAAGGACTGAAGTTTCGTCTTTATTCATTTGTGAAATTTTATCATTATAGTATTTAGCATCTTCTTCATCTAAAACGCCGAATAAAACTTTAGTTGCTTTTCCTACAATATTGAACCAACCTCGTTTTTGTCTACTTTCTGATAAATGACTATGACCGATCAATTCGTGTAAGACTTCTAGTTCTTTTTCAATTTTTTCGAAAGTGTATTTAGAACTTTTCAAAAATAACTGACAAATATAATAGTGATATTGAGCATTCTCATTATTGCATAAATCTGTAGTATACTTACGGTAATTCTTTAATGATAATAACTTATTACTAATATTTTCTAATTCTACAAAAGTTACTAGTTTCCATTTGTTATTAAAAAACCTTAGTTCGCCCAGGTGCTCAAAGTGTATTCCAGGGTTCAAGTCATAAGTGGTTATATTGTATTCTGAGTGGACTACTGCTAGGATACTGGTAATTATTATAAATAAATTAACCCTAAAACAAAATATATATACTAATAATAAGCTAATTAAAATTTATTAATTCTAGTTTTTATAATCTATATATACTGATTATGTTTAGTTTTAATAATAAAAATATTTTAATCTATTTGCATGAATAGTTTGTTTATTTTTTCCTTTTTGAATTGTATAATTTACATCTGATATTTTTTTTATAATGGTATATGGACCAATCCATAAGGCGGAAAGTTTTTTACTTCTGCCACGTCGAACTGATTCGTCGTAAAGTAACACTTTGTCACCAATTTCGAATATTCTGGTATAACTGTTTTTATCGTAATTATTTTTTGATATGTTTTTACATTTTAATAAGTTTTCTTTAGCTAATTGATTAGAATGTTGCATTTTTTGTTTAAGATTGTTTATGAAATCATCATAAGTATAATTGACTTTAGGTGGTTGTTTAACTGATGTTGGTAATGTAGGAATATGTCCGAATAAAAGTTCAAATGGAGAAAATTGTGTAGCAGTGTGAGGTGTAGTATTATATGTAAATGTTGCATAGGGAATCCAATTATCCCAGTCTGTTTGAGATGTCTTAATGAAGTGTCTTAAATATTCTTCTAGAACTTTATGAGAGCGTTCTAGTGCTCCGTTTGACTCTGGGTGATAACTTGTTGTTTGGATCTTTTTTATCTTTAAAAACTTGCAAGTACTTTTAAAAATATCACTTAAAAAATTTGACCCCTGATCTGTGACTAGCATGTCAGGTATTCCGTAAATGCATATAATATTCGTTACAAAATGATGCGCTACAGTTACAGCTTCTTGATTTCTCATAGGTATATTAATTATATATTTTGTTAAATCATCCTGAAAGGTTAATATGTATTTGTGACCATTTTCGGTTTCTGGTAGTGGTCCAACTATATCTAAAAAACATTTTTCGAACGGTTTTGATGCCGTGGTCGTAATTACCATAGGCATTTTTGTTTTTCGAGACTGTTTATTTTTTTGACAAAGTTCACATTTTTTTATAAACTCTTTTATGTCTTTTTTCATACCTTTCCATGTATATAATTGAGATAATTTTTTATATGTGCGGGATGACCCTTGATGACCTCCTAATGGACAATTGTGATTTTCATTTAATAATACAACTTTTTCAGCATCTGAGGGGTTGATAAGACTGTTGTTAAATATTGTAATTTCTGAATAGAGGTCTTTAAAAATATATCTTATCATAGGAAGAACGATTTCCCATTTGACTAATGAGTTGTAATGATATTTTATAAATGATAGTTCGGTTTTTTCGTTGGATATAATATTTCGTAAAGTTAGTAAGCAAGACCAAATATTTTCATAATTAATATCACTGAATGTATTTTCGTTGTCTGTTAATAGAAATATATTACAATTATTTTGTTGATACTGAAAAACTGACGGCATGTCTAAAGGATTTGTGTTATCGTAATGTTCTAAAAATGTATTAATTTGTTTATTTTTTTCTAGAATTTTAAAGTCGTTTTTGTTGAATAATTTTGGCAAAAATAAAACT